TTCTCCCGCGTAAAATTGGAAGTATCTAGGCGACGTTTCGATGAAGTCTCATTCATCATCTTCAGGCTTGTGTCTTCGGCTTTGTGCTTCTCAGAGTAATGACTCCGAGAATTACTCCGATAATTACTCCAAAAAGCACAAAGCCAAAGACACAAGCCTGAAGATGATGAATGAGACTTCATCGAAACGTTGTCTAGATACTTCCAATTTTACGCGGGAGAAAACCTGAATAACCAAAGATCCATATATATATATATATATATTATATATGAGGATATACAGTATATTTATATATTTAATATAGATATGTAGATGTATAAATATATCAACATCAGTAAATGATTTTAAATGAATCCTATGTGGATCCTGAAATTGCTTATTCTTAGCATCACACATTTCATTCCTATGTCTGGTGACATTTGTCACATTGGGACTTACGGATCTATCAAGGACAGTTGGAATAAAATCATGACCAATCCCTTCCACTTCCATTGTTGTATCGTTGGCTGAGATTGTATTTAATGAGCTGGGCAAAGCAACAATGGAGCCTTCGGGATCCACTCCAACAATCTATGAAGGAAGATAAACTGTTTAATGCCATTCATTTCTTCAGTCAATTGTTTTTTATTATAATGTACAAGTGGTAAGAAGTCAAGGGAGTTTTTACAGGGATAACTTTAATCGGAGGCAAATCACTGGAGTCTAATGGAGCCTATAGTCCTCAATTTACAATCACAACTGAGCTGAAATCTTTTTGCTGCTAAGCAAGATAGTTGTTCAGTGAATTTGCCCCATTTTACAACCTTTCTTGTGTCAACTAAAAAGATACCCCTTTGGTCTTTTTAGCTGCCAGAAAAAGGGAGTGCGGGAAAACAAGGCATTCTTGAAATGCCAAGATATCAACTCAGCAGCCCAAAGTTGTCGGAGCATAAGAAGGTTATTGGAGAGCATGATGGATGACTCTTGGAGATGGATGTCCCCCATTGGAGAAGTCACATCCAGGGGGTGGGGGAAAGACCAGGGTCAAGGGGGAAATGTATGATGTCATTTAGTACCGGCTGCACCCAGCCACGCACCAACATGGCAATTTTTAATAAACCAATTTACTTTTTCTGAGATGCGGCTAGAGACTTTTGCTTTGAATGAGGGGGATTTGTTGAAGCCCTGACATCTTGCCGTAAAATGAATCAATGCAGTTATGTTTGTAACACGGTTGTTAAGTGTCTCTGGCTTCCCCACTGACTTGCTTGTCAGAAGGTTGCACCTTGACAAAGCCTCCCTATGTTAGTGATGGCCCACTTGGCACATGACAGCCATTAGGAAGCTAACCACTGTTATCATTCCCAGAAATATCCCAGAAAATGCACCACCAGAACTTCAAAAATAGCAGCAGCTCCCAAGGCCAGGTTGGAGACTAACTCTTAAGGAACCAAATAGTTGATCCAGGTCGAAATAGCTAAGCCAGATCCACGTACTTTGCATGCAGGGCATTTCTCCTTCAACTTTCTAGCAACACCTGTGATAGTACCACCTGTGCCAGCTCCAGCCACAAACATATCAATTTTTCCTGAATTTAAGAAAAATAAAACAATCAAATAAAAAGTATGTAACTATATTGTAAGAGTTCACACTAATATATAAATTCAATCATTTAACCATTATTAGCTGTATGTGATTTACTCCAATTTTCACTTACATCTATTTTTAATAATCTGTATCTATTTTTTATATCCAGCAGGTAGCAGCACTTGGCTGTCTTTTGCTGATCTTGAAAAGTGTGACAATATTTCTGCCACCCAGAGTAGTTTATTTTGTGAGATGGACAACTATATAAATTTGAAAAATAAATAAATAAATTTGGTTAATACTAAGATAAAGGGTCACCAGAATCCTGGACTAAAAGCCAGACTGGGAATCGAACAAGAACAACAAGCTATAGCAATATCACAGAAGAATATAAGAATACAATAACATCACTTTCATGTTATTGCCAAAGATAATTATGCTGTGGTACTTTGGTACTCAACTGCTTTGAAACTCATTGAATATGGTACTCAACTCATTCTGACACAAAACATTTGTCCCGGTATTCATCATTTATTTGATACTCAATGCACAACCTAGAACTTGTTGATGTTGTCTGCCTTGTAAGTCACTGCATATTCCTTATGGAAAAAATGTGTTTGGTACTCATAGTTTTTTGGGGGGAAATCAGAAGTGAGAAATGGCAACTCACAATCAAGTTTTCTAATAAATTGAGTAGAATATGTTTTCATTTTATTTAAAGGAAATGTGCACATTATCAAAGGATTATTAATCATACCATCACACTGCTCCAAGAGTTCTTCAGCTGTGGTATCATAGTGTGCCAATGGGTTACTTGGATTTCGATACTATTATGGGAAAGAAACAGATACAAAAGAAAAACATATAATGCTCAAATGGGTGGAATCAATTGTAGGTTTGTAGATGGTACATGTGTATTACGTCATATCCCTCTAAAAGTATCGTAACAGAGAAGCATTGTCATTATGCAAGTATTCTTTCTTTATAAATAAATATTTATCTATGAAGTATTGTTGTGACTGAGAATATATTGAACAGTTTACCCAAGCTCTAGTGAAATACAGTGAGAAATACAATGTGTTACATGCAATGTTGCCTTTGAAAATAATGTGACTGAGACTCAGCAGGCATTAGCTAGAGTAATGATGGTCTATTTTAATATTTATTACCTGCTACATAGGTGTAATAAAATACCTAAAATAGTTCTCTGGATGCAGACCAAAAAACAACATTGCCCACCCTATCAACTCAAGCCAAGAAACCAGCATGCCACCTGGTTCTTTTTTTTCCTGAAATGGTCACCTACCAGCGCATAATCAATTGCAGCTTTCTTTCCAAACTCATTATCATTAAAAAGTTTCAGTTTAAATAATTGTTTCATCTTCTTGTTCTTTTACTTCTTAAAACTCTCTCTACTTTATGATAAGCAGGTATAATATAGGAACTTGTGTTTAATCTGTATATACATTTAGTAAATTTTATGAACTTTGGGGTAAATATGCTTCCTAGTAATCTGATGGAGAATATCTAAATGGTTTGCTCACACAGCATGAAAGATCCTTCTCTTCCTCCTTAATAGATACACTTTTCTATGTTGGCAGCACATGGCACAGGATAAGTAAGTTGGCCATACAGTAGACATTTCTTTAAAGCAAAGCTCTCCAACCTTGGCAACTTTAAGATTTGTGAACTTCAATGCCCAGAATTCCTCAGCTAGCCATGCTGATATTGGAAACCCCTGTTTTAAACCACTCAGATGCTGGAGAGGAGACTGGAGAACTATTGCTTTCCTCCATGCCTCCTTCCCTCCAGACGGAAAAAGGTAATTAGAAATCAATGTTTGTGTACTTAGGGTTGGGGGCCCTGCAGGTCTGTTTGGTGCTGAAGGTTAGAAAGTTTGCAGAACTTCTGCCCTAATTTTATGCTCAGAATCTCTTATGTCCCTTTTCCCTTCCTTTCATAAGACCTCTGGAGAAGGTTAGCTTTTTTCAAATTAATACTATACAGATAGTTTTGCATCCCAGGTTGAGTAAAGCAACTGGATGGAAAATAATTCAGAATATATTGATCAATTCTAAAGTAGGAATCCGTACCTGATCTAAAATATGTGAATTTGGATTTTCATTTTTCAGTTTCCAAGCAACACGAACATTGGATTCTGGATCATCAAACTTGGTGCAGGGAGTTCTTACTATTTCAGCCCCAAGTGCTCTCAGAATATCTACCTGGAAGGATGATGTAGAAACCAGAAAATTAAATTAATTATCTGCACTCTATTAGTTAATATAAATTGAGATTAATATATAAATGCTTTATATAAATAAATAAAATAGTCCCTCTTACAAAATATTTATTTATTCAAATTTGATACTATCCAAATCCAACTGACTCCAGATGGCTCAGAAATTTTTTTTAAAAAGCAAATGAAAAACAAGTAGAACACACAGTATCACTTAATAATACGACTGGTTTAGCTGTGGCCATTAAAAATCAGAAAATTAATATTTTTGCTGGCTTATTGTTTATTTGATCTGAATTAAGACTCACTAGACTTGGTGGGATATTTCCCAGAGAAGAGTGTACAGCAAAACAGTTGTAGATCTGTCCACAAAAAAAGATATGTACATACTGTAATTTTGCTTCCATGATTGATTTAAAAAAAACAAAACCATTAATATGCACATTACATTGCTGATAGTGTAAAATTGTGAGCTCTGAGGAGCACAAAATGTTGTCTGATATATATGCCAGGCATGTGCATAACTAAGTTGACAATTCTTCTTTCACAAAAGTTGGGACAAAACTAAGCACATTCATAAAATTAAGACCTTATAGTTTATTGTCACTGTTTCTAATCAGATACCTTTTACATGTTTTAAGACAAATCTCATGATTCCTATCAAACTATTACTTACCTCTAGTCATTCATTTATGGATTCTTATCAGCTATACAAATGATCCCCAACTATAGGTATTTCCAAACCACATTATTTCCATTCCCTAATCTCTGACAAAGCAATCTGAAGTCAACCTGTGACCTTTACATTTGCTGTCTTTGGAATTCTGAAAACATTCAGTTAACACCATAAGCCAATCAATGCTCATTTCCAGGGCAAAGTTCATCAACCAGGTATGATCTAACTTCTTTGAGCTACAATACATCCCAGAGCCCTCAACCCCCTTCATCTGTCCTCACTCCCCATGGAAATAAAGAAAATAAATTGCTCTTATATAATTGTTGTAGCTTCCCACAAGAAGAATCATGAAAATTCTGTGTTCTGTGAGGTTAACAGATTATCCCCACTTCATGAACTCAGTTGCCCAGGAGACTGGCATTGTGCTAATGGGAGGAAAGTGAAGAAAAGAAAAATGACTAAACTATGTTTATGTTTTTGCTGAGCCATCAAGTTTTCTCACCTTTTCCATGCTCATTTTCTCTGGCATGACAATGACACAGCGATAACCCTTTATTGCAGCTACGAGAGCCAGTCCAATTCCTGGTGGTGAAAAGAATAAGAAATAAGGCAAGTAGAAATTATAGCTACCAGTTAATTAAAACTCCATGTGATTATTTAAAAATGTGTGGCAAAGCAAGAAGAAATACTGAAGATTAAGAAGGAATGGGTAATGAAAAATGTGGACCAAATACAAGAGAAAGTAACCAGTACAAGAAAAGTGCATTGAAGCAGCACTTTATAGAAAGAATGAATAAGGATCAAATTACAAAATAAAATATATGAAGGAAGAGTGATCAGGTCAAGAATAAAAGAAAGACAGGAAAAGTCATGGCTGACTGAAGCTAATGAGATTCTCAAAAAGTTCAAAGGGAAAAAAAGGAAGTGTATGAATTGGTGTTTGGATGTTTTTCAGTGATAGAAAATTATGGAAATTTATAGTTTAGTTTACTTTATTGTCATTGCACCTTGTACACCAAAATCAAATACCATCTTCAGTGTACATTATGACTATGAAAATAAACACAAACACACATCCTTCACATTCTATACATTGACTTGAAAACCCCTGATATTGCTTTAATATTGCACTATACAGTAGAATTCAATAGAGTTACTGCCCTGGGATAGAAGCTGTTTTCAGCCTATTTTGTCCTTGTATTTATTACGCTGTACGTCTGCCATGATGGTAATAGTTCAAAAAAAAAAAAGTGCCCAGGATAAGATGGATCTTTGAGGATGTTTTGAACTTTCTTAAGGCAGCAGGAGCCATAAAGGTCTTCCAAAGAGGAGAGAGGGCAACCAATGATCTTCTAGGCAATGACATTAACCCTCTGGAATGCTGTCCTATCTGCTACTATGCAATTGGCAAACCATACATAGGTATAGTAAGTTAAGATACTCTCTATGGTGCAGTGGTAAAAGGTCACCAGCAGTTTTTCATTCAGTTGTTTTCTGAGAAGTCTCAGGTAGTATAATTTCTGCTAGGCCCTTCTGACCAGTGCTGTAATGTGAGCACTCCAGGTCAGGTCCAGAGGTGGTATTCAGCAAGTTCTGACCACTTCTGGAGAACCGATAGCGGAATTTTTGAGTAGTTTGGAGAACCGGCAAATACCACCTCTGACTGGCCCCGCTCCCAGCTCTTCTCTGTCTCCCGAGTCCCAGCTGATCGGCTGGTTCTTCTTTTGTTGCCCTGCACAGGAGAACAGAGCTGGAAAGCAGGTTCGTGGGGTGGGGAGGGAATGGGATTTTGCAGTACCCTTCCCCTGGACTGGGGTGGGAATGGAGATTTTATAGTATCCTTCCCCTGCCATGCCCACCAAGTCATGCCCACCAAGCCATGCCCACAGAACCGGTCATAAAAAATGTTGAATCCCACCACTGATTGGGTCCTCTTTTATGGTAACACCTAGAAACTTAAAACTGGCCACTTGTTCCACTCGGTCTCCATTGAGAAGCAAGGGCTGTTCCTTCTATAGTCCACTATAAGCTCCTTGGTCTTACTGGTGTTGAAGACCAAGTTATTGTCTCCACACCACAAAAGCAACCGGTCCACCTCATCTTGGTAAGCAGACTCATCCCCCCTGGAGATTAGTCCCACCACTGTTGTTTAGTAATAATCTGCAAGTTTAGTAATAGTATTACTAGTGTGAGTGGGAATGCAGTCATGCACATAAAGAGTATAGAGTAATGGATTCAACACGCAACTCTGTGGTGTACCAGGGCTGAAGAGGTATGATTAGCTAGTTTGACCCTCTGTGAGTGGCCAAACAGGAAATCCATAATCCAAAGGCAGATTGAATAAGAAAGTCAAAGGTCCAGAAGTTTAGACACTAGTCTATGTGGAAATATATAGTGAACAGTATTACTTTTTTCTGCACTTTCCATCATGTTAACTTTCCCTAAAAGGGAACTGTGCAATAAGTATATATGTACATATTAGCTCGATACCCGTGCTTTGCTACAAAACTATGTGGTCGGGCTTAGTTTTGGAGGAGGAAAATAAGAGGGGGGGAGGAATTCTGCCTACCAGCATCCATCGGTATTCATCTGGCTAGCGTCCTGTCAGTGTGTGAGAGAGTTGAGGGCTGTTTGGAAACTGAAACAGTATTTGCTGTGTGAACAAGAAGGGGACAGCAAGGGACTTCCGGTTTGTCGGCTTCGCGAGCGGCAGGGATTCGCGATACTGCGCGATCCCTGCTGCGCTAGCCATTTTTGGTGCTCCGATCCGGACGGGTTTGGAGCTAAGGCTGCCCTGCAGGAGCGGCTGAAGATAGGGGGGATCCGGAGAGGGGTTTGGGGGTGTTGCAGACCCCCTCCCCGGCCGGCAGAACCCCCTTTTCCCAAGACGGTGCAGCGGCGGTCCGTAATGGCCGCCACAAAGAAGCCGGCAGCTGGGCAAGAATGCGCAGGAGGAAGAGGAGAAAGCCTTTGAAAGTGAAAGTTTTTCTTGGTTGACCCAGGACTCTAAGACATATTTAACATAATTCCTGGAAATTATGGCTTGTTGAATGATACTTTCCAGAAGAGAAAACAAGCGGCAATTTTGAGGTGCTGAAAGGAAAGTTTACTCTCCTTCCCTACGGAATCAACAAGTGGATACTGAGAAACCTGTCTTTTTCAGGTAAAAACTGGCTTTATGTGATAAGTGGGAAGGGAGAGGACAAAAAATATATTTATATGTTAAGATTTTGTTGGAGGAGATGCCTTAAGGATCTGAAGACTGAAATGTATTGCAATAAGGCTTTAAGATACAGATTTGGACTTTCTTTTTTTGATTGATACTACCCCAGGAAGAGAAAGTGAGAACTTTGTCTTGGCTTGGATTGATTGATGACTTTGGGATTGTTCTATTTTTTGAAATATCTTGGTTGTTGCAAGAAGAAAGAGGGGGGGAAAAAAAGAAAAGAAAAGATTTATAATGGCTTTTTCTGTTGAGGAACTAAGAAAAGAATATGAGCAAACAAAAAAAGATGGCAAAGATGGTGTAAAAGAAGCCTTCCTTTTTTTAGAAATGGCGCTTGCTACCTATCAACAAACACTACAACAGATGGAGGCAGCAGAAGAGGAAGAAGAAGAAGAAGAAGCCATCTTTAATGAATTTCAAAATTTAACTAAGAAAGAAGGAAGAAAGAAAGGAAGGAAAATGAAGGACTTAAGATTTAAAAAAACACTCAAGAAAGAGAAAAATAAGGTGCAAAATCAATATAATGATAGTAAACAAAAGAAAAAAGGAACACAACAGAGAAGGGAAGCCAGTAAGGCAGAGGCTAGGAGAAGGGGGGGTAGAAAGGTCTGGTGGGAGAAGAAAGAAAGGGAAAAGGTGGAGAAAAGCCACAAAGTTTTGAAATCAGATGGGAAAAGAGGAATCTTTTTTAGGGACAAAGGGTAAAGTATAATTTCTTTAAAAAAGATTTTGCAAGGTACATAAGATGGTATTGTAGCATTTGTATTAGAAATAGAAAATTAGAATGGTTTAAGAGTTAATAAGAGATTAAAATGTTGAAATGTTTAGTAATGATTGATTTTAAAATTTAATAAAATATTAAAGGGAATGTTTAGAATATTGAGTTTTAATTAAAGAGTTTAATATGACTATGGTATTGATGTTATTATAAAATTATTATTGTAGCATTTGTCTTTGGAAAAGGCAATGGGAATGTTATAAGATTCAATATTTAGATCTATTATTTAACTATGTATTTAATCATTTTGGATTTATTATTTTTCTTTTATTAAAAAAAAAATTAGTAGACAGAATGTACCAAGCAGAATCAGATTGGGTATTAGGTGTTATTTTAAATGTTAATCTAATTAATTTAGGGGGAAGATAGAAAGGCATCATACTCTGATTAGTGATTTCAGGAGAAACTCTTTTTTTTTTATTATAAGGAATGAGACAAAGGGATAATAAAGAATGGACAAAAGATACAAATATAGATGGATTAAGATTAAGATGGATTAAATAAGATAGAATTAAGAAGAGTGAAATGTGTGGAGAAGCTAATATAGAAGACATAGAATGGTAAATAAAATAGGTAATGATATGTAAGATGAGCATGAATATAATTGAAGTCCATGTAGAGAGAGGTACCTGGGGCCAAGTTACTTTCCTAAAAGATTTTTTATATGTTTGTGTGTTGTGTGTTTATGTTTTTGGGAGAATTAATAAAACCTTGCAGAAATATAGAATGAGAATACTGGTAACCAAGTCAGAAAGAAATAGATGAAATAATAATAGTGAAATTGAATAACAGTAAAGAGAAGTAAAGAGAAACTGGATAAGAGGTATTTGTATGCTCATATGGAAATGGTTTAAAATAGAATTATATTGTATAAAATAAGGTTTTATTTGACTTGTAAAATTTATAATGGAAAAAGGTTCAAGTATGTAATGGTTAATGATGATTTGTTTGTCTTTAAAATTAATAAAATTTGTTTAAAAAAAAAGAAGGAGACAGCAAGGAGCCTGGGCGTGGCTTAGCTCAATTGTTCTGTACTAAAACTGCTTGCTGCTGTGAAATTGAAACTGAAACTCCTCTCCTCTGCTTTTGTTTTGTATTTGGAACAGATTTCTTTTCAGGTGGGGAGGAGGAGTAAAACTCCTTAGCATCAGAGCCAGAGGTGGTATTCAGCAGGTTCTGACCAGTTCTGGAGAACCAGTAGTGGAAATTTTGAATAGTTCGGAGAACAGGCAAATACCACCTCTGACTGGAGATTTTACAGTATCCTTCCCCTGCCACACCCACCAAGCCACACCCACAGAACCGGTAGTAAAAATTTTTGAATCCCACCACTGATCAGAGCATGTTAATAATAAAATAGGAAATACTAATGCTCTGATAGTCATTTTGAAAAATCCTTTCTTAGTGAGCACCTAGAAGCAAGAGGAACATACGTGCCAAATTTCAAGTTTGTAGGCTTTACGGTTCTGGAGATTTTGTGATGATGCGTGAGTGGTGTTTTGCTTAGATGTAAGCTGTTGCATTTTATCTAAATCAGCTCCTCAGCCTTGGGCACTTTAGATATGTTAGCACTGTAAGTCCCAAAACTTCCAAGCAATATTATGAATCCTAAATATATGAAAAATGCCAAACTGTGGAATGGATACGAATCTTTTTTTGACACTGAGGTTAGTTTTAAAAAAACTATTCTATCTTATTCATGTTTTATACCTGTATTTCCTGATGTAGGTTCAATGAGTGTATCTCCTGGTTTTATGATACCAGCTTTTTCTGCATCCTCTATCATCCTTAAAGTGATTCGATCTTTTACACTCCCTCCAGCACTGAAGTATTCACACTTGGCCACTAGAATTTCAGAACAAGAACACATTTTAATTTGGAGTTAAAATCTCTGTTATTCTTGCCAAAATTCCCCCAAAACAATTCTAATATTGAGGAAATGATTTTAAAGATAGAAACATAATCACTTTTAACTATTCATACTACTGATATTATATTTCAGTATTTTGTATATTAGATATTCAGCACATTGGTCTTGGCTTAAGTGGGTGGGTCCATCAGATTGTGCAGTTTTTATATTAGATTGGTGTTTACTGGGAAATAGGTTTCCTTATCCTCTGCTAAAAATCTCACAATACATGCACAGACTCAACATACTTTGAACTGGGGAACTATGAACATCCTAGACCAAGTTAAATCCCAAAATGCTAGGAAAAACCTGGAATCTTGGCATTCAGACAAATCAGCCATCAATACTCACATAGAGATAAATCACAATTATACACCATTCAAAAGAGAGAATTTTTTAAAAACCAAGAAAAGAAAAAAGATATCAGAAAACACCCTTTCCAGCAGCCAAAAACCCAGATAAGCATGGATTAACATCAGACAAACAATCAAGCAGGAAACAATACAAGCTTGGAGGATGAACCTCGACCCTCACAATATCCTAATCTGCAAGCTACCAAGGGGGGGGGGACTACACCCCCAGGGCAAGCTACTATATATAAAAGGGAGCAAACCCCATGCTCACCAGCATTGATAATACTATCTAATCATGTAACAAAATGTCTGCTAGCAAACAACCAAACTCAGAGAACTCCAAAAACTCCACAGATCATAATGTGATTAGCAGATCCCAAGATAGATAAATGTGCTAATAATTGAGGAGACTCTGTGGCAAACTACCAAACACATGATAACCAAGCTCACACAGAGAAAAAAAGTATCAGAGGTAACAAATGAGCCTTAAATAGCACTCAGAAAATAAAGAAGAATATTTATGCAATGCTTGATTTGGGATTATAAGTGAATAGCTTTCCCCCTCTTCCATCTCAACACACTGTTCTTGCTTGTTTGACTCCTCCTTAAGATCTTGCTTTAATTTTTAAAAGACCAGTGGTTTTTTTAGGGAAAAAGAATTAGCCATCTGCATTGGCTAATCTTCATATATTTCTCCTCTGGGCGATCCTGTGCTTGAAAGACAGAAGTGTATTCAATTTTCTGAGCCAAGGACCATATGATTATCCTATCTATTATTAGACAGGGCTTGGCTAGAGAGTGCAATCAGACCAGGAACAGATGTTTCTCAATATGTTAAAATTCTACTTGCAGACAAAATTCCAAAATTACAGTGGCACCAGCCAAATTTTTAACTACAGCTATAAAAAACAAGTTTGTGACTAACACATCATTATGTTTTAATTTCAAATGTTATATTTATCTATTTATTTTGTCTGTTAAATTGTTTTATCTAATGCCAAATTTTAGATTATATCTGCACCTTATTATCCGAGTCGTTTGGCCAAAAACAAGAGGGCAAACTTTGTTATTGTTGTTGTTATTCCTTAATGAGGGTTTAAAGAGAAGCTGTTTCTGATCAACTTCAGGATTAAAAACAAATGTCCAATGAAAATAAAGAGTTCCATTTTGCATTGTCAGACTATTTGCAGACTTCATTGCAGCTTTAATGTGTATGTGTGGGTGTCTAATAAACTGGGGTGTTGATTTCTTTCTGTGAAAAATATTATTTTGTTTTCTCCATAAGACAATAGCATTGAAGTAGGAAAGAAATAATAGGAAGAAAGTATTAAACATCTTGTCCCTTTTAGACCCCTCTGAGTAAAAAATCAATTTATCAGGCAATTGAATTGGGGCTGACCTGCATAATGCAGTTTGGTTCCAAATTACATAGATTTACTATGTAAATTATATAAAAGAGATATTTCTAATTAATGAGTTACCAGAGAAAATAATGCTTCTTAGAAAGGACAAAATTAGGCAATAGAATTACTAGCCAATAACCAATGAAGAATTTGCAGAAGTATTAAGGTTCTACATGTCATGTATATATTCTTATTATATATTCCACACATTGGAGTTCTAATATACACCAGGATTTAAGAGTTCTGTCTTCTAATAACTGTCCATCATTCATCATCTCTTTTCACTTCTACACTCAGTATTTCTTATTGTCAGTTAGATCACAGTGCCTAATGTGAGATCCCTCTAAAATCTTCACTCAATAATTGTTATTAATGTGGCAGAAAATAGAAAACATTAGTAACAACCATCAATATATCTTATTTAAACAATTAAGTTAAATTGACTCACATTTCATTTTCGTCCCAGTTTTGCCCATACTCTGTCCCAACATTATTTGAACTTGACTCCCATTATGCCACTTTAGTGGGTGTCAGCTATAAAATCCATCATACGGCTCAATCTATATACTGGAATGAAAACTTTTTCTTTTCATTCCTATCCTAAATTCAAGAACATTTCAGACAACTTTGGCAAAGACATACTCACAAAGTTCACACTTGAGACCATAAGCTTTTGAAATCTTATTGACACGGATCAGAGGAGTGTGTCCAATTTTCTCTAAGACGTTTGACAAAATCTTTGGTTCTTTTTGCCTGTACAAGGAAAAAAAAAAACAAATTAACCCTGAAATGCATTATTGACTCCAATGAGAACCAATGTACTAAAGCAGTGGTCACCAACCGGTGGGCCGTGGGCCACTGGTGGGCTGTGAGAAAATTTTGGTGGGCCGTAGAGAAATGTCCCCCAAAGCACCCCCCAAAGCCCACCCACCCACTGCCTCCCACCCTTCGGCCGAGCGCAAACCTGCAAAAAGCAGTGCATCCTTCGCTGGCCAGGACGAGGTAATGGTGCTGTTGCAGCAAGAGGGGGCTGGCGGCACAGGCAGACTGAAGCGGCAATGGAGATGGCCGGAAGGTGCAGGAGCGCTGTGCTACTTGCATTTGTGCGGCACTCCTGCACCTTCCAGTTTGCCTCTCCTGGCCTGGGCTCTTCCTTGATGGCCACAGGCTGTAGGGATGGCCCAGGGCAGGAAAAGTACTGGCTGCTGGTGGTGGGAGGGGGTGGAGTGGGCAAGTCTGCGCTCACCATCCAGTTCAGAGGTCCAGAATGGGGCATCAGCATCAGTTTCCTCGTCCCTCTCGGCACTCTGCTCTGCTGCCCCCCTCCCACGGCCCCAGCCATCACTGCCTGGGAAAAGCACAGGAAAAGCGAGCAAATACATAGTTCTTGCTGGGGTGAAAGAGCTGAGATTGAGGAAGGCACAGGCAAGAGAAGACAGAAGCTGCCACCTTTGAAAAGTGCCACTTTTTGTTGCCTGTGCCTTCCGATCTCTGTTCTTTCATCCCAGCGAGAGCTTTTTCTGCTTGCTTTCTTTTCATGGGGGGGGGGGCAGCAGAGATGTCAGGGTTGCTCTCCCCCCTCAGCAAGCCAGGCCTGGAAGAACATGAAGAATTGTGGCCGAGTGCCGGACAAAGGCATGTTGGAAAAGCCAACACATGTTTCCAGCACGCTCTCCTCTGTCCCAAAGTAGGATTGAGTGGGGGGAAGGGAGCAGGGGGGAGGGTAGGAGGGAAGGAGAAGCCCAGCTGGCTTTCCTTTGGTATGGGATGGGGAGAGGGGGGGACACCAAATGCCCAGACCAAAAGAGCACTGAGGAAGATGCGCTCCTAATAACCAGCCTGTTTGTGCAGGTGAGAGCCCGGACACTTCCCCCCTTCAGCCTCTACACAGGGGGGGGGGCTTCTCTGCTTGGAAGTGGAGGGAGAAACCTGGAGATTAGCCTCGGGGAGTCCTCTTCTTATGTGGAGGCCGAAGATAGATGTGCTAATCTATCTTCCGGGGTGTTGCCTGGTTATTAGGAGCCCAGCCCTCCTTTCCTTCCCCAACTCCAGGCAGCCACACCAGGCAAAGGAGGGAGAGGTTTCCTCTGACTTGGGGGAGATTTGAGATGACAGGAGACCAGATGGGGGGGGCTCTGCTTTCCTGCCATTTGAAGGGGAGCCGGTTCCTCCCTATCCAGATCTTCCCAGTCTCTAGGCACCATGTGGCTTCTTAAATCCTCCCTCTTTTCCCCCCAAAGAATGAGAGAGGCCCCTCCTTTCCTTTCGCTCTACCCAACAGTTATGATTAAGCATTTATGATTTTGTTATAATTAAATAAGAATTTATGTGTGTGTGTGTGTATAATAAAAATAAATTTTTAAATATTAAATTTATATTTAATATAAAAAATAAATTTTTTATATTAAATATATTATCTTTTTTAAAAAAAATCGTATTAGTGGTCCTTGGGATTTAAAAATATGAGTGTGGTGGTCCCTGAGGTCGAAAAGGTTGGCAACCCCTATATTAGATGATTAACGATAACATATGTGGGAAAGAGAAATTAAAAAAAGAGACAAGTGCAAAAAAAGTTAGAAGAATATAAGAGACTAGAGACTGAACTACAGAAAGACCCACAGAAAAAGAACATTAAAAATGGAATTTAAAAAATGTAAGGTGAATTTGATGGATAAAGAAGAACTAGAGCAAAAAATTAAAAGCATTAAGCAAAACTTTTTTGAAAATGCAAACAAGCCAGGAAGATGACTGGCATATAAATTGAAAAAAGAGAAAGAAAAGAAATTGATTCACCAAGTGGTGAAGGGACACTTCACCATCAAAATGAAGATAAAATGAAAATAGTCCAAAAATACTATGAAAAACTATATGATCAAGAGACAATTTCAGAAGATAAAATAAAACAATACCTACAAAAAGTGGAATTACTGACAGTACCAGAAACAGTTAAAGCAACATTTGGAGAGAGAATAACAATGATGGAATTAATGGAAGCAATTAAAAGACAAAAGAATGGCAAAACTACTAGGACCGGATGGACTATCAGCAGAACTTATAAAGATATGCAAGATTCTTTAAGTAACGTAATGTTGGAAGTATTTAATGACTTATTGTTGGAGGCGAAAGTACCTAACTCTTGGATGGAAGCATATATTGCTCTCATACCAAAAGAAGACTCAGACTTGCAACAGATTAAAAATTATAGAATTATTGAATGCAGACTATAAAATATTTGCATCAATTATAGCAGAAAGACTAAAGGGATTTTAAAACCAGTTTACACACTCAGATCAAAATGGTTTTCTATCTAAGAGATAAATTAAAGATAACATAAGAATAATTTTGAATACACTGGAGTATTATGAAGCACATCCAGAGAAGCAAATGGCATTGATCTTTTTAGATACACAGAAGACAATGTGAACTGGCAGTTTATGTTGGCACAGCTAAAAGAGATGGATTTTGGGGAGCGATTTATTAAAACGATTAAGGCAATATAACATAAACAAACCACAAAAGTAATGGTAAATGGAGATATGACTGAAAAGGTTAATATTAAGAAAGGTACAAGACAAGGATGTCCCTTGTCGCCATTACTATTTGTATTGACTTTGGAAGTACTGAATAGAAATATTAAACAAAATAGGCAGGTAAAAGGTATGGAAATTAAAAAGAAAGAGTACAAGTTACAGGCATTTGCAGACAATCTAGTTTTTATTTTAGAAGACCCACAAGAAACAGGGTCTAAACTAATGGAAAAAATAGAAGAGTATGGAGATGTAGCAGAACTGAAAATAAACAGAAAAAAACCAAGATTTTAGTGAAGAACATCACAGATAAGAAAAAAAAGTTAATTAAGAGATTAGATATTCAGATTACCAAGAAAGTAAAGTACTCAGAGATTCAACTAACAGCAAGATGTGTAACAATTAAAGATAATTATAATTAAGATAGACTTAGAAAAAATGGAAAGGTTTGCAATTATTGTTAATAGGACAGATAGCCACAATTAAAATGAATATATTTCTAAGGTTATTGTATTTGTTTCAAACAGTCCCGATAAAGCTGGAAAAAATATTTTGAGGATTTGAACTAAAATAATATTAAAATTTATAAGGCAAGGGAAAAAGCAAGAATTAATTTAAAAATGCTATAGGATAAAAGAATGAGTGGAGGTTTTGGACTGACAAATTGGGAATTATATTATCAGGCTGCAGTGTTAAAGTGGATGAAAGAATGGATCGTATTGAGGAATATAAGATTATTGACCCTGGAGACACATGATTTGCAATTGGGTTGGCATGCCTTTCTATGGTATGGGAAAAATAAAATACATGGTTACTTTCAAAGACATTATATAAGAAATGCTTTATTGCTAGTATGGGAGAAAATCGGAGAATGGTACTATTTGAAAATACCAGCTTGGCTTTCAACAATGGAAGCACTATTCATCCAAACATTTTTAATATGGGAAGTTGCATACATTCCCTGGAATATGCTGAAGCTATACTGAAGCTGGAACAGGTCATAGCTCTCTATAACTCTCATTTCAGAATTCTCGTCTAAGGTTATTTTATTTTATTTCTACTTTTATAATAAAAACTGAAATGAAGGAATACACTATATAAATGTATGTAAGAATACATCTTCTAAAGTGTTAGAAGACAGGGAAATTTAGGGTACTGAACTCTCTTCTTTCAAAAGCAGATTCTTAGCACATCATATTGCCTGTGAGCCAACAATAACTTTGTTTCCTGTTTCAGATATAGTTTTAAAGCAGGCATTGCTTTAAGTTACTACTTACTGAGGCACATAGTGATGAGGTGACTCTGAGACGGATTTTCCTGGTTTCCAAGTGCATCTGCTAGGCAAATTGGGACTAATCCAGGTGTTACTGGTTTTGGCTCCTGGGTTTTCCACATCTCCATTGAGGAAAGGACAAACTCTGATTGTTTTATTTGAAGTATAAACAGATGCCATCATAAGCTAAAAAGGAAATATAGAAAAACAAGCATTTCAACAAAGATTTGAACTCCAGTAAAACAAAGCATCCCTAGTGGAAAGAATCTACCATGTTTAAATATATGTGTTTTATGTATTATAGAAGGTATTACTATCTTTTGCATCAGACAGCATTTTCTAGATGATTTTTTATTGTTATTTTTGGCAGCCAAAGATTAAAAGAAGGCATGTCAGTTATATGATGATATTGGTGCAGGTAAAAACAGAATATTCATCTCAATCATCCCTATAGGCTATCAAAAGTAAGCCACACAACCCGCAACTCAGCTTTAACCCTCAACCACAACCCTACCTCAACCGATCCACCATCACCCAAGACTAGGCATGCACGCCCCTAACTACCTCAATTCCAACTACTACTGGCCTTAAATGCAAACTACTCAATGCAAGAAGGCTCGTGAATAAAATACCTGAATTTTTCCTCCTACTAAATATGGCTAAATTCGACATTATATTTGTCTGTGAAACATGGCTCAATGCATCTCTCCCTGACTCCATTACCACAGTAAGGGACTATCATGTTTACCGATCAGATCGTGAAATTCGTAGAGGAGGTGGTGTTGCTATCTTCTATAAAAAGTCCTTACATCTAAAAAATATCCAAGTTACCCAGGAGCTGAGACCATCATCTGTGAACTATCCTTAAATATCACAATTCGATTCTTACTATGTTACAGAGCACCTGATTATGACATCGAACATGTAAACAAGCTAAATACATTACTAACATGGGCTGCATCCTGCCCATACCCTTTTATCTTTCTTGGTGATTTCAATCTACCTCATATTGACTGGACCCTAAATGAATGTACAACTGAAATCATACACACAACCTTCTACAATGCTATTACAAATCTGGGACTGGAACAACTAGTAACCAACAACACTAGACTAAACAACTGCCTCGATCTCATCTTCTGCAATAGTTTGAATTTAATTTACGGAATACAAACTAAAGAACCCTTTTCCAGCAGTGACCACAATATGATTGACTTTTGTCTCAACATACGCCCACACAAAAATCACCACAATGATGTAATCCCCAATTGTAACTTTAAAAAAGGCAACTATGATCTTATAGACAACGATCTCTCATCCCTTGATTGGCAATCTCTATTCACTGGATGCAATACTGTTGAAGACCATTACAACATATTTTTACTTGAAGTCAAAAGAGTCATCAAACTATATGTACCAACAACAACTCCCAAAACAAAACAAAAAAGCAGATTACCCATAACAATAAGGAAACTTCAATCCAAAAAGAGATCACTCTGGCGGAAAAACAAATCTGGTCACGTTGCCAAATTCAAAAGCCGATACAAAAATTTATGCCACCAGATAAAGACCGAATGCACCAATTATCACATTAAACAAGAGGAAAACCTTCTAAGCACCAATTCCACCCGTGCTTTTTACAATTTTGTAAACAACAAACTAAAAGACTCAAGGTCCATCCCACCCTTGATAGGACCTGATGGTAAAGACTGCAACGACGACACCATTAAAGCCAACCTCTTTAACACATTCTTCGGCTCAGTATTTGTTAACAGCAACGGACCATGCCCAGTATTTCCTAGCCGTACCACAGATAACAACAATGATCTAATACATATCGATTTTACAGAAGACAATGTTGAAAAAGCACTACGCAATCTAAAACTATCTCTATCTATTGGACCGGATGGAATATGTGCCTACTTCTTAAAAAAGCTATCCACTGCCATAGCCAAACCTCTAAGCATAATCTTTGAAAAAATCTTTCAGGACCAGCTCCTTGCCTAACCTATGGTCACAAGCCACAGTCATCCCCATCTTCAAAAAGGGAGACCCAAGCCTAGTTGAAAATTACAGGCCAATCTCCTTATGCTGCGTCACCTGTAAAGTCATGGAATCAATTATTAACCAATCCATCATCCTCCACTTAGAGACAAACAACCTACTCTCCAATAAACAATTTGGTTTCAGAAAAAAACTATCCTGTAATCTGCAACTCTTACACTGCAAAAACATATGGACGACACAACTCGACCAGGGCAAAGCAATAGACGCAATCTACATAGACTTCTGTAAAGCCTTTGATTCAGTGGTACACGACAAACTACTCCTAAAAATAAAATCCTATGGTATCTCTGGACAACTGAATAACTGGATAGAAGCATTCCTGTCAAACAGACAACAAATGGTCAAAATCGGGAGCGTCCTATCAAATCCAGTACCTGTCAATAGTGGTGTTCCCCAAGGCAGTGTTCTAGGACCAACTCTCTTCATACTCTACATAAATGACCTCTGTGATCATATTAAGAGCAATTGCGTTCTTTTCGCTGATGATGTAAAGCTGTTCAATACCACAGACAATACTGCTACCCTACAAAAAGATCTTGACTATGTATCAGAATGGTCAAACAAATGGCAACTTCAAATATCAACAAATAAATGCTCTGTCTTACATATTGGCAAAAAAAATCAGAAAATAAAATACAAGCTGAATAGTCAAGATCTTGTTGATGACCCAAGTTCTGTAAAGGACCTTGGAATACTCACCTCTAATGATCTAAGTGCTAGAGCCCACTGCAACTACATAGCCAAAAAGGCATTAAGAGTTGTTAACCTAATCCTACGTAGCTTTTTCTCTGGTAATATCACACTACTAACCAGAGCATACAAAACATTTGCTAGACCAATACTCGAATACAGTTCATCAGTCTGGAACCCACATTACATATCTGATATTAGCACAATTGAGAAAGTCCAGAAATATTTCACAAGAAGAGTTCTCCACTCCTCTACTCATTGTAGAATACCTTATCCCACCAGACTTGAAATTCTAGAACTAGAAAACCTTGAATTACGCCGTCTTCGGTCTGATTTAAGCATGGTATATAAAATCATACATTGCAATGTCCTACCTGTCAATGAATACTTCAGCTTCAACCATAACAACACAAGAGCACACAATAGATACAAACTCAAAGTTAACCGCACCAAACTTGATTGCAGGAAATACGACTTCAGCAATAGAGTGGTCAATGTCTGGAATACTCTACCCGACTCTGTAGTTTCTTCCCCAAACCCCAAAAACTTTAACCTTAGACTGTCTACTATTGACCTCACCCCTTTCCTAAGAGGTCTGTAGGGGGCGTGCATAAGCGCACCAACGTGCCTACCGTCCCTGTCCTATTGTTTTTTATTCTTCTTTTATTTTTCTTATATGTACCCATTTCATGTATTCACAACTATGTATACACTTATACTTATTATCTTGTAAACAATTGGCAAATCAAATAAATAAATAAAAAAAATAAAAATAAAAATTCATTCCTCTCTTCCTTTGTGGAAATCAACATCATTTGAGAGTTTTCTAGGTATTTGACGATCATCTCTGCAGTGTTACTATCAACCATGTTTTTTGCTGTTGTGTGAGACAATAACTAGAGAGCTACATTTTTCTTTTTTAAAAATAACTTTATTAAACATTATAATTAGAATAGTACAAGATAATGCGAACTAAAATATCCAAAAGAAGAAAGAAAGAATAAAAGGTGCAAAGAGAAAAATTAGAAAATAAATATTAGAAAAAAGAAAAGAGATAAAAGTAAAAACATAGTGAAGAAAAATTATATATGTATGTATGCATGCATGTATATATGTATGTAAAGACCATCAAGGGTTTATCTGATTAAATAAATCAATTTTATATTTGTTTAACAATCTAACTATCTTAATCTTTAGTCCATTAAAATCATGATCTAGAACTAGATTTCATTTCTTTGTCCCTTCTCACAATATTCTTCAATATTCTTTCTTTTGTAAGAAAGATTATAATTGTCTTGGTTTATTGTTGGTATGAACTTTTAATTATTAAAATATCAGTCAATTTCTTTTATAAGTCTAATATAACTTTTTTCATGTCAACTTTGTAACCTGTAGCCTGTAAAATAAGTCCACTTTCAACTCAGTCTCTGTCTTGTCAAGTAACATATCTTCCACAATACATTTTATACAAAATCTAGCCACAGAGGCAAATATTGCTGTCAACAGTGTCAGTTTAATTTCTGACTCCCGTTTTGAAAGTATTCTTCAATATTTGCAGCATTAGAATATTTTGTGCCATTCCGTAACCATTCATTACATTTATATGTTCTTCTCCTTTACTTGAAATCTTTAATCCCCTCTACTGTCTAACTTTTTAAAACTTTGTTTTTTGTTTTGTTTTTAAATCAAAACAAAAGCATTTCTCATAGCAAGGATTTTTTTATAATTAATTCTAAAATTTTATTTCAAATTTATCTGGATTTGTAGCTTTCTAAAGCCAACATCTTAAGCAACCTTTTTTGTTTATTTTTTTTAATTCAGCTCCTAAGCTTGTAGTCAGATGTTTCTTTCATTAAGAATTGAAGGCAGACTCACATCATATTTTCAAATTTGTAGATCCAAAGGTTTCTAATAATTGAAAAGTAGCTAATAAGCAATTTCAAAGTGTGATTAGAAAAGGAACTATGTGAACTTAATGTCTTTTTAAGGCGCTACTGCAATTTAAGTAAGATGGCTATTCCCTCATCTCTCAGTGCTGAAAACCCACCAGTTTTGCGGCCTCTTTGGGAGTACCAACTGTCTGGAGCACCCATGGGTGATTTCCCATCCTCTCTTTGTCTCAAGAAGTTCAAAGAGTCAGTCCATTTCACTGACTCTTCATTCTTTGCCATGGCTCTGCTTTTCACCGGGCTGCCTTCAATCCACCATTTCTTCCTCCGATAGTCTCAAGAGCTACAATTTTCATTATGAATTCTCCCTGTCCTTCCAGAATTCTAGTATGCTTCCCCAATCTGGCACCATGGCAATTTTTCTTGAAGCTGAAGAAATATTTCTCACAATCATACTGTAGTGATACATTTTAGCAATAGTAAAACATTAGATTATTCCAAGCTGTCTTCAAAGTAATTATCTCACATTTTTCATTA